CGCTCTTGCTCGCGAGTTCTCCCCACCTCCAACTTCTCCATGGAAGATAGCTCCCAAATGCCATGTTTTTTGCCGCTTTGATTCTAATCAAAGCATGGTCCAGCGAAGCTGTCCTAAACAGGACCTACAATAGCAGAGCCAGAGCAGCCAGGAGCTGCACCAAACAGCCAGCCCCTAGGTGTGTTGTGCAGTGAGCAACTGAGACACGAGACATCGGTGACCTTATTCCCAGTGGTCTCCTCGAGTGATAGCTAAACCGTGTACTAGTACTGTACCTACTAACCACCCGAAGTATCAACACACGCCATCAAGGTTCTGCAACTGGGGAGTCGGAACTCACATGTTCATGTCTTTAGAGGCCGTATATATGAAATATTTATATATACACTTGCCATGTTGAAACTTAAAACAATGTTAAACCATACATCATGGATGCCACCATCGCTCAAGCTAACAATAACGCGACACCTTTTCCAACCAAAAAAAAAAGTAACGCGACGAGGTAATAATAGTCAAAACACGGACGCTAGCACGATGGCATGGGATTCTCATCCATTCGCGCAACGCGGCCACTCCGCGGACCCAACACCGGTTAGCTAGCCCTAACCCTTTCTATAATATAATAATAATAAATATAAATATAAATATAAATATAAATATAAATATAAATATAAATATAAATATAAATATAAATATAAATATAAATATAAATATAAATATAAATATAAATATAAATATAAATATAAATATAAATATAAATACAAGTCTAAATCTAAATCCGAGCCCTTAGTTTAATTATTTTTCGATCAAAACTTGCATGCGAGCGAGTGACGTGTGGCCAGTTGCTTGGAAAGCCTGTGCGTCTTTTGTACAAACCCCATCTGTCTTTACTGCAGGGCCTACGAGGGCCCCGCGCCCACTGGTTTGTTTGTTTTGGGTCAGCAGCGGCGGCGGAACAGAGGTCTATTCCTTATATATATATACTAATTATTAGCTGATGAGGGCCTTGTTTAGATGCACACCAAATTCCAAGTTTTTTCACTCTCTCTCCATCACATCAATTTTTAACCGCTTGCATGGAGTATTAAATGTAGGTAAAAAAAATAACTAATTACACAGTTTAGTTGGAAAATCACGAGATGAATCTTTTGAGCCTAGTTGGTCTACGATTGGACAATATTTGCCAAATAAGACAAAAGTGGTACTATTCATCGGGTTGCAAAAATTTGCAAAGAGAACAAGGCCGAGAAACGAGGTGGTGATGGATCAACTCATTCCATTATATAAACCAAATACAGAAAATGAGAGAAGAAGATGCATTGCCTCATTCCTTGAACCAAACACGCGACCGAGTGTTTTTATTTCCAATTTCAATTTGGCCGGTGTGGACTCGTTTGATCATTTAGCGGTGGGTTAGTTAAGGGTGCCGGTCAAAATGTGCTTTGCATGTTCACCACGACGTCCGCTGGAACGGAATAGAACGCTATGATCGGCAGATGACGCGTGCGCATTGCATCAGCGACGAACAGGGTCGCGATGTGGAGCCGTCCCTATTGACATCAACAGGATCCGTGGGACCGGCGTGAAGGAGGAGAAAGACCCGGTGATCCTGAAAGCATTCTTCCCTCTCTCTCTCTCTCGTTCTTCTCCTCTTCCTCCGCTGTAATCCGCGCTTTCCCTTCGCCTATAAAAGATAAAGCAGGGCGCCCCGTAAAGGGGGATCCGGATCCGCACGAAACCGAACCACGAGATAAAAACATAAGAGCACGGGGCTGAGCAGCGATCGAGCTCTCAGCATCCGTTCACTCCTTTCACCAAAGACTTGAGATCTTTTCTCTCTCTCGTCCGTTTGTAACCCATACTGTCAAACTAAGTGCCGGTAACACGAGTAGCAGCAAACTGGACATAGGGACGTTCCGCCCGAACTAGTATAAGCCCTTGTGTCCTCCGAGCACACCATCCGAGCCAGACGCGCAAATACAAAATTACTCGTTGGTGGTTCGAAAACATCGACACTACCATTCATACAACCACACCTAAGGAACAGAAAGAGCAACCATAAGCGACATACAGTTTAGGCTTGCTGGACAAATTCTCAGTAAATTTGATCCAAGCCGTCCAAATATGTTCATATCAGAATTGGATGCTAAAAGCTTTAGTTTGATTTTGGTGAATTGATGAAACCCTAGGTACTAATCTTTGGCTCCAAGTGATTATGAGATAGGTTAGTACACACCAAGTGTTGGAGCAAAGATGAAGTCCATAATGTTGTTGGTGGACATGTGATGATGGTGATCAAGCTCCAAACTTGGAAAAGAAGAAAAAGAAAAAAAAAAAAAAGATTCAAGGCAAAGGTATATTTGATAGGAGCTTTTTGTTTTGGCACTCAAGACACCTAATGGGCGTGAGTATATTTAGAATGGATATCCGTACTATTAAGATGGGTGGAACTCGTCGTGAAATGTGGTTATCAAAATGTCACTAGAGGTTTTAATTCATTGCATATGTATTTAGATTCTATTGAGTGCTAACATCCTTGAAAATACTTTGTGAAAAAATGCTAACACATATATACTATGATGAGACACTTTGTGTTTGGCAATATAGAAGCAAAGGTGAAACGAAAGAAGTTGGACGCGGTGACCGGACGCGTAACAGTGCAAGGCGAGAGGAACGAGCAAAGGTTGAAGAGGAGCAATGAGCAAAACCACCATTTTCGCAAGGGAAAGCTGCAGGTGCTGGCCTCAAGGTGCGTGCCTGAATGACACAAAATGGACCTTAACCTGCCAAGGAAGGATTACTTCTCTCTGACTATGTTTACTTGTCAGTAATTTTTTACTATAACAAATTTGATTATCTATTTTTTCTTTTAAAAAAATCTTAGATACTTCAATGTATATAATATTAATGAAATATGTTTAATAAATAATTATATATGTGAAAATTTGATATATATAAAAGTCTTTTGCAGAAAACGCTACAGTAAACAAATTCGATGACAAATAAACAAAAACGGAGGTACTGGGTCTGATGGGCATGCATAGCCCACGAAATTTGGATTTTGGAGTTACTGTAGCACATTCGTTTTTATTTGGCAAATAGTGTCCAAACATTGATTAATTAGGCTTAAAACGTTCATCTCGCAAACCAAACTGCGATTAGTTTTCTTTTCGCTACATTTAATGGACGGACCACTGGATTCTGATGGAACTTTTTAGATTTTGGGGTCCAACTAAACAATGGCTAATGTGGCATTCAGATCTCAGACTCGGACAGAAAAAACAAAAACATTAGTAAAATAATTTTTCTTCAGCAAAAAAAAAAGTAGCTCTAGGGAACTTAAGTTGATTTGACGCGAGTAAAGCAGCAGCAGCAGTGGCAGTAAACATAAATTAGTGCCACTGGCACTGGCAGAGACGAGGAAAAGGCCGGCGTAGCTCACTGTTGCTTGACATTGTGTATGCACAGCTGCACAGGCTTGTTTTCCTTCCCCCGCTGAAATTTACGTTTGTGCGAGAAAATATTGTTCTATAGCTGAACTTAAGCGAACATTCGAAGTAGAGTAGCTTCTGTAAAAGCTAGGCTCAAGTACTGTATGGCTACATCCTCCTGTTTTATATTCGCGCCACTGTTTCCCCCTTCCTCATCTTTTCATCTCTTGGGGGCTCGCTCGACCTGCTTTTCTGTGAGGTTGAGTACTTGTACTGCTTAAATATATTTATTACAAAAAAAGTTTAACTATTAATAGAATGTCTAATGATGTTTAATGGCTCTGTTAGCTTCCAGGAAAAAACTAGCCGCAACACTCTTCCGGTTAATTTGTCGTGAGAGAAAAACAAAGTTCTGACTGAAAAAACCAGATAAAAAATACGGATTATAACACAAGCGAACATCACCGATATGCACCATACATTTTGATATTTTTTATATATTTAATCTAATTTTAAAAACTTAACTTATCGAGAATGACATGTATCCTTCATTTTTAGATGAAGGGAGTACCTAAATCGATCTCTCCTCCCGCAAACTATGGGTTTGTTCTGTGCTAGTACCTTGCTTTACTGCACAACCGCGTAAGCCAAAGCCAAAGCCGGAGCAAAAGTATCGGAAAGGCAGCTTCACCTCCGTAAGTCGAAGCTAGACGGCACCAAATGTACGTATTTCCCAAACTAAATATTGTGTGATAATGTTTTCAGTACCTCCTGACTGCACGGATGCACTGGCCATAAGATGGAGATTAGACAACCCTGATGACAGGCAAGGGCCCGAAGGAAGAAATGGTTTTCAGGTCTCATCCCCTAGCTCGATCTATCCAGAGCAACGAGATGACAAAGATTTAGAATAACTTAGTTACAAGATGATCAAAGTTTTTATGCTTGGATGACCATAGCACAGATCATAATCGCATAAAAGTTAGTATGCCCGAACGACCAAGAAGTCCACAGAATCACAGCACAGATCATAATCGCAGGGACTACATCCCAAGAACCGTAGCGAAAGGAAGCGGCAGGAAGCAAAAGACAGAAAAAAGAAGAACAAAAATGGCGACACCGACGTCCCTCTCTTTGTACACACAACACACAACCGGTTACTTACAACATAGAGTAGGGAGTATCAGACTAGCTCGTGTATCAGTCTCCAAGAACCCTGCAAATGTTCTTCCAATCATTAGAATGGTACTAGAATCGAGGCCTCCATCCATGTTCCATGGTCTGTTATCTCGGGCAAATTTCTTGTTCGTCTCGTGTCCTCTTCTCACCTAGAACCTTCTTTTTTTTCCTTGCCGTGTTTCTCCATGTCCCTCTCTACACCAGCAGCAGCACTAGTAGAGCTAGCCTCCTCTAGTCCCCTGCGTGCAGTACGTGCAGGCAGCAGCTGCATCGTCGTGGCTGTAGAGTGAGCTCCAGCGAAGCACCAGCGCCAGCACCAGCATGAGCCTCAGCATCAGCGTGTGCGCAGCAGGGAGAGGTGGCGCCGCCGTTGCCCGGTCAGGGGCTGGATCAGGGCATGAAGAGCTTGTTGCCGCACTTGCAGCGCCAGGCCTCCGGGTAGTACTCGAGCGGGAAGCTCCGGCCGGGCTGGATGGCGACGTGGACGGGGCGGCAGGGGTTGCAGCCCCCGCAGCGGCTGCGGCACGTGGGCGGCGACGACCCCGGCCCCACCAGCCCCCGGCGCGCCGCCTCGCCGCTCCCGTCCCAGGACCAGGAGTACCCGTCCTCCTCCTTCGTCGTCGTCGTCGGCGCCACCCCGCCGCTCCCCCTCACCGGCGTGCACGTCCCTGCAGAAAGGCAAGACAAGACATGGCGTGACGGCGTGAGCTCCCAGCGATTTGAATGCAAAGAACATACTAAGCTCGGGCTCGGCATGTGCTACGGCCGTGTGCCTGTGCGTGTGAGAGTGCAGTACCGGGGGCGGAGAAGAGCAGCGGCAGGAGGAGGACGAAGAGCAGCAGCGCGGCGGACAGGCCCCGTCGTCGCTGGCCCCAGCCTCTGCTCGGCGGCCAGCCCATGGACGGCCGCGCGCCCGTGAGAGCAGATCCCGCTCGCGCGCACCGCCGCGCCGGGCTCGGAGGCGGAGCAAGGTACTGCAGCTGACGAGCTCGCTAGGCCGCGGGAGGGAGGGAGAGAGCAGCGACTGAGGCTGAGACTGGGACTGAGACTGAGAGAGCGTGCGCGCGGGCGCGAGTCAATTGGCACGCATGGACCGCGCACGCGCTCGCTCGGGCGGGCCGAGGGGAGGGAGCGGCGGTGGCCTCTGGCAGCTGGCCTGGTGGGGGTGTAGAGCGGGCGTGATTGCTGGCTGCCTCCCTTTGCTTGTTATTCGGAGCAGCTAGCCACCGCGAGGGGAGCTGCCGGCTGGCGCCACGCACAAGAGCGGGGGAGGCAGCAATTCAGAGCAGAAAAAGAGGCGGCTGCCGTGGTGGTGGTTTTGGTTGCCAGTGGCTCCCCGACCCGAGTTAGTAGTCCCCCCGGTCCCTCGTGCGCCTGCGCCCACCTGGCCACTGGCCGCAATTCGGGGGCTCGCAGTCGCAGTCTCTGGGTGGGGTGGGGTCTCTCTCTCTGCCTCGCGATTCGTGAGGCGCCGGCCTGACTCGGGCTCTCCGTCCCCCCTCCCCCGCATAGATGTCCAAAGGGGCCCGGCCTGGCCCGATACGGCCCGTGCCAAGCATGGCCCGATGGGGTCGGGCCGGCACAACACGTCGGACCTCCCGAGCCGTACCGAAGTGGGCATCGTGCCTGATCTACGGCCCAGGCACGGTCTATCGAGCCGCTTTTCATGTTGGGCTGGCCCAAAAAACACGCCCTAGACAACGGGCCGAGCTAGCCCAAGGCCCACGACAGAGAGAGGGGAAGGGAGTAGGGCCGCCACGAAGAAGACTTCAAGAAGGCCGGCTTCGTGGGCGTCGCCGGCGATCTTGTGCTGCCTTGGGGGCCGTGGAGGATCTTGCGTCGCCGCTCATTGCGGCCTTCGGCCAATGAGGGCAATGAGGGCGCAGCCTTTCGAATCGGGGCGTGGAGGAGATGGTCGTCGTGCTCGTCTGCCGGTGGTGCGGGGAGGGGCGAGGAGGTGACCGTGGGCAGTGTTGGCGGACGTGGATGGCGAGGAGAGGAGGCAACACAACGATTCGCGTTTGCGGCTAGTCGCGGATGGAAAGCAGGTGGGGGCGTGGAATCGACGGCACGCAGCTGACGTCGGGGGGTGGAACTAGCCGAGTCAGTCCAAGGCACAGTTGGGGTTGGGAGTTGTTGGGTTATAGATGAATTAATTTGCTACCGGGCCGCTATTGGGCATGCTGTTGTAGGTCGGGCCGTGCCGGGCTGGCACGTCGTGACTGGGGTATGGCCCAGGCACGGCCTGCTACTTCGTGTCATGCCAGCCTGGGCCCGCACGCCATTGGGCCGGGTCATGCTCGTGCCGGGCTAAAAATAGGGCTTCGTGCTGGGCCGTTATGGTGCGGGCTGCATGGACATTTATACCCCCCTGGGGCCTGGCCCTGGTCCGGCGTGCTGGGCTGCTGGCTGGCCGGTTACGTTGCCGTGCCGCCCACACGCGCCGCCTGATCGCTCACTCGGTACGTGCATGCTCTGACTCACTGACCGCCCGCTCGCCCAGTCCTTTTCAGGAGGCCGGCCGGCCATCAGCTGTGCTCTGCTCTAGTTTTACCCGCAGTAATCAGGCCGCGCGCGCTTAGTTAGTACGCTGAGTACGGCTGCGTTAATCTCGCTTGCTTAGTTAGATGCAGATGCAGATGGGATCTACCGACTACTCCATTCCACTGTAGAAGAACCATCCCACCACAGTGCTGCGCTTGCGCGCGCGTTATTTTACCTGTACGGAAGATGGGCATTTATAGGCTTTTACCGATTCCTCCTGGTAGCTGCAAAAGCCATCACATCCAAATCCGTCAATCCTCCATGCATTCGTGTCCGCGATCGATCCCGGCCATTAGTACATAGAGGAGGACAAAGTACACTTGGTGGCACATGCGTGGCCCCACAGCGCATGCGGTTCTTGGCACCCGGCGGTCCAATCCGCAAAGTTTTGACAACAAAGTACTACGGCCCACTTGTAGCCTTGCCAGTAACTTTGCCCACAGTGGGCTTGTTCGGCTGACCTACATGTTTTTCATCCTAAGCGACATGATTCAACCATGAACCGTAAAATTCAGTCGCTACAGTGTTTTTTTTATACCAGCCGAACACAGCCGGTGCGTGCGTGTACATGTACTCCTACAAGGATAAGGAACACCACGTACGTTTGGCAAAAAATTTAGCTTACGCTGATGTACCGTAGAAGAAAAATATTATTCATTCGTAAAAAAAATACTGCGCCAAATTGAGATGCATGCGCCAAATTCGCACACGCTTGGCAGCACAGAGCGCGGACGATGGATCGAGTAGTAAAATACGGGTACGGGCGGGCGGACAGGCGTCCTCTGCTGGCGGACGCCGTACGTCCCCTCCCACCCCCCGAGAAGGGAGCCGTCAAATCAACTGCTCTGACTTGTCCGATCCCAACAACTCTCTCTTCTACTCTCCTCTCACAGTGAGGTGAGGCAATGAATGCACACACACGAAAGGGCGAAAGCCGGAACGGGAGAGGTACGTTGCATACCGGCGACGACGGATCGCTTGTCCGGCCGGTCGGCTGCTCGTCGACCCGAGCCCGGCACCGGCACGGAGTAGCTAGCTAGCCTTTGTGTTGTGTGTGGTGGCGGTCAAATAGGGTTTCGTCCCCGCCCTTGTTTAGTTTTTTAAAATCCCACGAAAGTGAAGATCCATCACATTAAATTTAGCATAAAAGATTAAATGTAGGAAATCGACCACGGTTTGCTTTAATGCAGACAAATCTTTTGAGCCTAAGTAGTCAATGTTTGGATAATAATTCATAAATACAAACGAAATGTTACATTAAAAAATCATGCACTTACAGGTACAAACTTTGCCGAACTAAACGCGCCCCCAATCGATTTAGCAAGTGCTGGATCGACCACATGCACGAGCATGATGCATGTCTGGCCGCTACCTCCTCCTCACGAGCCGACGAGCGGAAGCCGCGCGCGCGCATCGCATGAGACAACACATCACGTCGGTCGGCACTACGTAAAGCGTAATGGTAATGCACAGAATTCCAACCGGTACAAATCCGTATGCTTTCCAATATACAGCGCGACACTTTGCGGTAAACTGGTAGTAATAGGGGCTCCATGCACCTATGAGATGATTTTTTAAAAAAAGAGCAAAGTGCATGATCGGCCCCTAAACTTGTGTGGGGGAATGTCAAGCCGATCCATAAACTCTCAAAACGACTTAAGTTCATAATCTATGTTTTTGTGTCATTTAGGCCCAATCCGTTGCTAACCCCGTGAGACACCGTCATCTCATATTGCAACTAGCCCCCTCTGTCCATTTTCCTTGTTTCAAATTGGTACCACACGCCCAATCTGATGCAATTGAGAGCTCAATCCACTGCGTCGCTCCCTCGCTAGCCACGACGCCGTTGCGGTCGCTCCATCGCCGGCCATCACACCGCTGCCGTCGCCCCCTCGCGGCCAACACGCCACTGCCATGGCTCTCTCCCTGCCCACCACGCTGCAGTCGCCCCCTCCCAGACCACCACAGACCGTCGCCTTCTCCCGACCCACCACGCCACGCCGCCACCGCCGCCCCCCGCCGACCAAAGACTGTTTGTTGACACAAATGTGACGCCTTGATGTCGCACACATTAAGAAGCAAAAAGCGTAGCTTCAATCGGGTGCCCGGGTGCTTCGTGATCCGAACGTGCGGTCGGTTTGACTCGAAAAACCGACAAGGGATAAAAGCGATTAAATGTCAAACCGGAACATGTCGGGTGAGACCGAGCATATTCCGTATATACGCCCTCGGTTAAGCCACTTACAACGACATACAAACTATAGGAAGTCATGCGCCAACAAGTTTATAAATCATTCGACTAATCGAGGATGGACATACGTAAAGATCGATTGCGAATGCATATGCATGGGAAGACATGTTTGAACAAGTGAAATTGATTATGCGTTAATGCATATCCAAGCTCAAACAATCCGGTAGAGTTGGGGTCCATGAAGAAGGAACGTGTAGATAAACACGATTAAGCCAATCTAAAACACAAATCGCGCATACGACACCTAGTTTCGTCAAAAACTTAAACGTGATTAACATACATGAACCCACAACATGTGACAATCTAGATTAAAATAATTCAGCCATTACGAGCATGTTATCTATTTGCAAGAGGTATTATGAAAGTAATGATCATTGAAGCTCGAATAAAACCATAGAAGAGGGCGAACAATATCCATCTAGATTGGGCAAAAAGTGTGCTACAAATATATAAAATATTTAAAACATGCAACACAGGATAACTTGATGAATCTATTTAGATTTTGCCGTAATCTAATAGAGCCGATAACATCTTGCTTCCACTAAGCATATTGAGCAAACGCTTTTGCCGCACGGTATCTACTCATAAACAAAGTATAAGCAAAGACTTCTTGATTGTCAAGCAAAGATCCGCCCAGCACGATCATTGAAAACAAACAAGACTACTTGCATCACGTCTAAATCCACCGCATGATACTAAACATGATAACAAGGTTGTCGGAACTTACGGAGGTCGACGGATCGATGACTCCTCTCGAAGAACTTCGACGACACGACAAAAGGACTCGAAAGTTGGCACGGGGCGGTTGTATTGATTTGGTTGTGAACGCCTATTACAATGGTCGAGGGTCAATATTTATACCCTAGGCGAAACACGAGTCCTAAAAGACTACGATTTACAAAGGAACTCTTTAAATAAACTTGGAAACTACGATTCCTTGCCCCAAACTCTCGAGTCCTTTATTATTACAACTTTCATCTTCTCGATCGGCTTTGCTTGCCATCTTCGCTTTCCCGAATGGAGTTACCGCCTTCCGAATAACCGACCGCACAAGCATTTAGCCGACCGCCATGCGTTATTTGCGAACACTCTTCTTCCCGCATG